GCCTTCGCGAGGAGGTCGTCTTCCCTGACGACCACAGCTCGCTTTGCAGCGGCGGCAATACACACTCGCACGGTGGCAACACGGCCGGCATCTAATATCCTGTGTTGTTGTTCGGATAGGACCGCCTTTGACATTTCTGCCGTGAAGCAGAGTTCTACATATTGTCCGTTTTCGTCTGAGTCCAGTCCGTAACTGCAATCTTCGACCGTGGAGCACAGTGGGACATGATACGTCTCCGCGATGTCGGAGTCCCGCGGGTGCCCCCACTTAGGCAGGTGTCCCCGCTGCTCTTCAGCAACAGTGATCAGCACACTGTTCTGGAATCGTATGTGTGGGTACTGCGAAAAGGTCCTCTAGTGGAGTTGCCTCCAGTAGTTCCCTCTTTATCTTGTAATTCTGTATACCACACTTCTATAATATGTGCCTCGAGGTCAGCCTCCGATTCCTCATACATCGTGGGAAGCCGTCCATCCTCAATTGGTGGTTCGGTTTCTGGGGCTTCTCTCGCGGTTCCGTCCTGTGTCGGTATACCCGCCAATTCCTCAAACTGTGTCATATCCTGGTCGAAGCCCACTGGCGCGGGGGACGAGGAGAGCGGCCGTCCCAGCCAGGTGGAGTGCGGTCGCGGCCCGCCTTTGGTGCCTGGCCACCGGGCGCCTCGAGCGAGGTTGGGAAGTTCAGGAGAAGGCCCCTTGAGCCAAAATGGTTACGGATGATGGTGATGCTGATGATCATGATGATGATACTGATGATGATGATGATGATGGTGATGATGATGATGATGATGATGATGATGATGATGATGATGATGATGATGATGATGATGCTGATGATGCTGATGATGATGCTGATGATGTTGAGGATGATGCTGAACATGAAGCAGAGGAGGCGGGGCGGAGGGAAGGAGGAGAGTGAGGGGAAGGAGTGCAGGAGGGGCAGGAGGGGGGGACCAGTCTAAACCCAGGATGAATCAACGATGGTGCAATAAATCCTCCCTCCAAATTCCCTCTTCATAGGTCCGTAAAAAATACGTTTTCATGGCAGGATGTGGCCCACTAGAAGGTAACCGTCTGAGAGCCATCAATCGCACCAAAACATAATTCCTGCGACTTCAACGCCGCGGATCAAAGTGACTGTTACGTCCTGACGAGTCTACGTCGTGCCAGAACACCATTTCAGGGACATCGACCCCGCGAATCAAAGTGACAGCTGCGGCCTGACAACCCGAAACCGTGCAAATGTATCATCCTGGGGACTTCGACCATACGAATGTTTGAAACTGCTGTAAACTTTTAAGACGAATGCGCGCGGCGCCGAAGCGAGAGCCACATGTTGAAAAGGAACCGCCCTCAACCCGTGAAGCTGCTGAGAACTTGTAATAATGTGCTCAACGCTGAGACGAGAGCCACTGTTTGAAAAAAACCGGACTTCCATCCCTGAAACTGCTGCAAACTGTTGAAACTAATGTGCGCGACGCTCAAGCTGGAACCACATGTGTTGAACAACCCGCCCTCTATCCGTGAAACTGCTGCAACATCTGAAAAGTACTGTGCGCGGCGCTACGGCGAGAGCCCCATTTTGAAAACGGCCCGCCCTCCATCCGTGCAGCTGTTGCACGTGTCAAGCTTCATGACCATGAATGGCGAGGAAGTCTCAGGCGAAACGCCCAGCCCGCCCTACCGACGCATTTGGGGGTGCGAGTGGGAAGGTCATGTATAAGGAACAGAGATGGAGGGGGGAGACGAGGGGGAAGAAAGAGAGGAGGGGGAGGAGGGGGAGGAGGAGGAGGAGAAGGAGAAGGAGGAGGAGGAGGAGGAGAATGAGGAGGAGGAGAATGAGGAGGAGGAGGAGGAGGAGGAGGAGGAGGAGGGGTGATGAGGAGAGCGAAGGGGAGGAAGGGGAAGGACGAGGTGAGGAAACGGGAGGAAGCGGGGGAGCAGGGGGAGCAGGGGTGGCGAGGAGGAGGGGGAGGAGGGAGGAGGCGGATGAGAGAAGGGAGGAGGAGGAAGAGAAACAGGAAGAGGACAAGAGTAAAACGAGGAATGACAAGACCCTGAAGCCGTTCCACTTCAGTGGAGGAAGCGCCCACTTGAACGACGAGCGCTCCATGGGCGCGCTATTCAGACAATGGCCCCATGTTTAAACGAACCGCCCTCCATCCTTCTGGCTGTGGCACATACGACTTACGCAAGCTGAAGAGATGTCCCGCGAGAGCCACGTCTCTAAAAGGCGCCCGACCTTCTCCATCCGTGGAACTGCAGCTGCATCAGCTTCGCCTTCCGGTCATCGAGCTTGAAAGACTCTTCAGGCGAGGGCCCCATCGTGAGAAAGAACCGCCCTCCGGCCATGCACGTGCGGGAAACGTCTAAGACGAACGCGCGCTGCGCTGAGGCAAGAGCCACATCTTGAAAACAGACCCCCCTCGGCCCGTGTAACTGCTGAAGCGCTGGGGCGAATGCGCGCGGCGCGACGGCGATGGCCCGATTTTGAAAATGAATCGCCCCTCACCCGTGTAGCTGTCATAAGTTTCCAGCCGCAGGGTCACAAATGATAATGGCTTCCGCGCCGCCAACCCGTCTGGTGGCACGATGAGGAGGAGCCGCCGCAGCGACAGCAGCAAGAGGACGAGGAAGAGATCTGGGAAGATGAGGATGAAGCGAACGAGAAAGTCTGAGGAGGAGGAGGGGGGCGAGGAGGAGAAGGGAGATGAGGAGGAGGAGGAGGAGGAGGAAGAGAACGAGAAGATGAGGATGAGGGGAAAGAGGAAGTCGCTCCGCCGAGCCCGCCTGCTCGGGCGAGGAGGCGTGCGACATGGTCGGCGGTCCTGTCCCTTCGGTGTCTTCCGTGCAGCCTCCTCCTCATCATCATCATCTTACTCCTCCTCCTCCTCCTCCTCCTCCTCCTCCTCCTCCTCCTCCTCCCCCTCCATTCCTACTTCTGATGATCCTCCTCCGCCTTCTCCTCCTCCTCGCACCTCCCTCCTCCCGCCTCCCTCCCCTTAATCCGCCTCCAGCTACAAGCTGGAGTTTCGAAATTTGGCCGAGCGTCTTTGACCAATGTGTTGACAGTTCTGAATTTGCGCATCGGCGAAGCGCAATTCAGCCTCACTCATTACAACCAACACAAGCTGGCCATCCGCAAGACATGAGCGCATCCGTGCATGTACTAGTGCAGTGGCATATGCGTATGTATGCATAGCTAGATAGACAGACAAGCTTCTATGCTCGCCACCCCTGTGAACGTTCACTGCTGGCCTACTAGTACGCTGACTGCCTTGCATGGTTGATTCCTGGGCTGCCGACATAGATTGAGAGTCAGATGCTGTTGCATACGTACCAACACTTGCGAATGGATAATAGCTTTTTCTCTGCAAAATAATCGCACTCCCCTGCGAAGAACGAGAGAAACGCTAAAATGCACCAAGCTAACCTGGAGCCAAGCAGGGACCGACCTGCAATAAGCGAGCCCATACCCGGCATCTTGTCTTGTGCCGCAAAGCGGAGCGAGAATAGAATGAGGACGAGGCCGAGGAATCAAACTCACGAATGGCTAAGAGTGCACGATGATGTGGAAGAGTTGGAAGAAGGTGTGCGTGTATATACGTGAACTCAGGCGCCGTAGTGCACACGGTAGCTACATATTACTGCCATGCTGGCACATGTTAAACGCGTGTGTCGGCGCCTAGATGAAGACCCCAATGAAAAGCCAGCCGCATACGAATGTAGTTCAAGCGCGCGTGCTCGTGCGCGCGTGCCTTCCCGCGTGTGCACTCAACATAGACTGTAGACTCAAGGATACACTTACGTATAGCAATGCGTCTTCGGTGGGGAGGCGGTGCGAGAGCGTAAGCCTTGCGGAGCACAGCGATCGCTGAGCACAACCTCAGTACTGTACACAAATTGGCATCCAGCCAGGGCACCCGCGAGCGCGAGGAAGCGGAGAGCGGGGAAAGGAACATCGTTAAATCGATCCCTACCCCCACTGGCGTAGCCTCGGCTCCACTGGCCGACTGACCCCCACCTGGGTGGCGAGATTCGACTGGTCCCTGGGGTTTCGCGAGGCCTGTCCACACCTGGGAGGGTAGGCTGGTGGGGCTCAGATACCATGGCCCAGTGGGGGTGGGGATGGTCATGTTTTGTTCGTCATGTCTCATACGCCTTCAGCTTCTCCTCGGACGACGAATACAAACCAGAGGATGGATTAATTTCGTTTGGAGGTGATGTCATGCGGAAAAGGGATGGGGATGGTCGGGAGGAAGGGCAGGTCTGGACGGCGCGCGTCGCTGCGCTCTGGCACGGGTGGGCCACCTGCAACTAAGAAGCCGTGGCACGCCCAGGGGTGCACGTCGCCACCCCGGGCCCTGTGCGGGCCGGGGCCGCGGTCCCACCCGAGCGGGGCACGGCGCTGCCTTCGGCGGAATACGCACACGATGCGAGAGTCAGAAAACGAAGGGGTGCACTTCGCGATGCCCCTCGGCCCGTGCGGCGCGGCAGGAGTGAGGGCGAAACACCGCAGGGGGCGCCAACGGCGCGGGACGAAGCGAGCAGGAGAGAGAGAGATGGAGGCCCAGCGCCCCCCGCCGTTGTGATCTCTTCGAGCACCCAGCCATACGGCAATGCGGCTTCTGTTCAACAATGCGCGGCCCCACGAAAGACCCCACCCCACTCAGCGCGGGCAAGCTTTCGTCCCCGACTCACCCTGGATGGTCCCCCAGGCCATGGAACGAGCCCCACAGGCCGAAGACCCAGGAAGAAGCGCGGCGATTGAAACAAGTATGTCGTCGGGTGACCTTGGGTACGGTAGGTTCGTGTCGTGCCAACCCTGGCGTTGGTTTCTGACTCCGCGCTGGATCGCTGAGCCTTGAACGATACAGCGCGGTGTCAGAAACGTTTCCAGAAACGTTAGATCGCCGGCGGCGTCCCACGTTGAACGCCAGCGGCGGGGTCGCCGCTGGTTAATACGACGCGAACCTACCGTACGCCGTCCCTCCCCAGGACCGCTCACTCGTCCAGGGTCGTTCTCCAGCGGCTACGCGACACCCAACGCTGACCGCCCCGAGCGTGGCCAGGCCCGCCCTGGGCCCTGGACGAGCGAATGCGCCGAGATCGGGCACGTCCTACAGGCGGATTTTCGAGGAAGAATCAAAAATTGTCCATAGATAATCAAGTATAGCCAAGAAGAATAGAGAAATCGCTCCCAGACTAATATTTGACAATTCTTGAACACTCCTCCTGTAGAGGGACATGCCCGATCGCGATGGGTTCAGATCCCAACCGGTCGCGTGAGATCCCAACCGGACGGTTCAAAACCCAACCGTCTAAAACACCAGGCACGGTCAGATCCCAACCGAGGAGGAAACGAATAAAGAAAACATTGTGTAATGTTACCATACTTGGTATTGCTATCTGAAATTGCAGTGGACACCTTACAGGAGCAGATTTACGCCTGAGCTATTGCGGTTGGGATATCGCGCGTCTTTTGCTGGATCGTAGTAGTGGTAGTAGTAGTAGTAGTAGTAGTAGTAGTAGTAGTAGTAGTAGTAGTAGTAGTAGTAGTAGTAGTAGTAGTAGTAGTAGTAGTAGTAGTAGTAGTAGTAGTAGTAGTAGTAGTAGTAGTAGTAGTAGTAGTAGTATTAGGAGTAGTAGTAGTAGTAGTAGTAGTAGTAGTAGTAGTAGTAGTAGTAGTAGTAGTAGTAGTAGTAGTAGTAGTAGTAGTAGCAGTAGTAGTAGTAGTAGTAGCAGTAGTAGTAGTAGTAGTAGTAGTAGTAGTGGTAGTAGTAGTAAGTAGTAGTAAGTAGTAGTAGTAGTAGTA